AAAAAAAAAAAAAAAAAAAAGAGAACACTTACAAGTAAAGATGTATGGACTCAGGGGTAAACTGTGTGACTCACTTGGCAACACTACAGTTTCCACACCAAAATTTTCTTTCTCTGTTTTTGTTTTGCCTTGTTTTTAGGCTATACTTTTAAATTTTGTTTTGTTTTGGGGTGAGATCACAAGGGCAGAGGACAGAGGTGAGGAGACGGCGAGATGGGTGGGGTTGGGATGCATGATGTAAAATCCACGAGGAATCAACAAAAAGTTAAAAAATCCCCACAAAAATGAAAATCAGAACAAATAAGCAAAGAACCAATAAGACAAAAACAACAACAAAACAAAACAAAAAGTACACACAGACACAGACACACAGACACAGACACAGACACACACACACACACACACACACACACACACACACACACAAAGAGACACACACCCTCAAACCGAACCAACTAAGCAAATAAAAACAAACCATGGAGTTCCTTTTGTGTTAGTCAACTACTCCTGGGCACGGTGCCTGCCCTGGAGTATGGTTGATAAAATCAGTGACATTTCATTAGAGAAAACTGACCTTCCCTTTGCCAGTGAATATCAATTACAAATAGCTTCTTGGGTAGGGGTGAGACTCCATGTCTACTTTCCCTTCTCAGTGCTATGCCCCCATCTGGCTTGTGCAAGTCTTGTGCATGCTCTCACAGTCTCCGTAGTTTCATATGTGCTGCAGACCTGTTGTCACCTTGGACACTTACAGTCTGTCTCTTCTTCCACATAGATCTCTGAGCCCTGAAGAGAAGACATCCCATTTTGGATGGAGTGCTTGAATGTCTCTCACTCTCTGCACCCTGACCAGTTGTGAGTCTCTGTGTTAATTTATATCTACTGTAAGAAGAAGCTCCTGTGATGTAGGTTGACTGATACGCCGATGGAAGGGTATAGCAGTAAGTCATTAGGAGTCATTTTATTGCCATGTTATTTTAGCAGAATGTCTTAGGCTGTCCCATAGGCCACTTTAGCAGTGTCAGGCGGTATTCCATCTCATGCAATGGCCCTTAAATTCATTAAAAAATTGTGGTTGGTTATCCCCATAACATTTGTGCTACCATTGCACCAGTACATATTTTTTAAACTTTTTTATTTATTCTTTGTGTCTTTCCCTTCAGGCATCTTGATCCCATTCATCTCCCTGTGTATCTGCCTTCTGCCCTTGCAGTCTCCCCGCTCCCAAATGAAATGAAATGAAATTTAAGAGAAAAAAGAAAACTCTCACCATAGAAGCTGTAGTGTGACACAGTGAGTCATGCAGTGAACCTTTTTGTCCATATATTTTTACTTGCAAGTTTTCATTGTAAAGAGTCATTGGTCTGGTTTGGGGCCTCTGTTTTCTGCTGCACTATTGATGCTGGGCCCTCACCGGGACTTCTCTTGGATATCCTGCTGTTTCCCTGTGTCATGGAGATCCTGCAGCTTTGGGTCTGCAGGACTGGCCATTTCATGTGCGCTGGAAAAATCACAGATGGGGTGCACCAACTCATAGCCCTGGCTCTGGGCCTGGGTAGTTGCAGGGTTGGTCAGCCCACCAGCTCTCCCCCATCTTTATCACCAGGGTGAGCTTTCCAGCATTGCTCTGGCTCGTTCATCCCTGCTGAGCAAGAGGCAGGGCCCGATCTCCTGCTTTCACACTCTCAGGGTTGGCTCTCCCACACCTACACGACCAGGGCCAGCTCGACTATTTTGCCCAGGCAAGGTATTGGAGCCACTCTCCTGAGTGCAGCAGCTAGTGAGGGGCAGGGACAGCTCTCCCATGCGTATGACCTCAGGAGCAGCTTTCCTACCTGTCACAGGTAGTGTGAGGCGGGGGGGGGG